GTGTTTTTGCTCATTCTTCCATCTTATCGACGCGGTCGACTGTATTTGAGACAATAAGAAAAGAGAGAGAGGTTAACAAGGACAAGAAGTTCCCCGCTTTGTTTATGTGGAATGGAAGAAGAGAGAAGAACTGGCTGAGATGGGCTGCACACACTGCAGAGTGTTTTATGGACTTGAAGATACAAACTGATTTCCAAGTAAATTACGCAATGCAAGGACATGAAATTATATCAGATGAAATAATTTACTTAAGGAAATGGGTGGAACGAATAGTTCCTAATCTTGACAGAAATGTCAATGATCAATAAAGTAAATAAACGGATGCACTTGTTTCTTGTTTGGGTTACTGTTCAGTCTCTCAAGTTTATCTGATTTTATTTGATTGTCGTGATAAACAGGGAAACGAGACCCGGTAAACGAGGGTGGAGGTATGTCTTTCTTTTTTCTTTTTTTGACATCTTTCCGACAGACTAGCGCGCGAGTGTCAAAAGTAGCCGTTTTTTTGGTCCCATCGCCACACATAAATAAATTTTCAGGTTTTTAAAGTTTTTCTGCTTTTTAGCCTAGCTTATTATTAAAGTTATTGTTTGTGGTTCAGTACTACAAAACTTGATAAATTGATCATGGAATAAAGGTGGTAAGTTTCTAAAGAAACTGAAGTGGTCTTTGACCTTTTAAAGAGGCCCCCTAAAAATTGAAACGTTTCCACGAAATACGAGTAAATCTTTCAAGGACCCCTGTCAAAGTATACCATTAGGCTAACTTTGCACAATCGGGTAACGCGTGACCATCTGTGACTATAACCATCAAAAACTTTGCGTGACCGCTGAGGCAAATCGTGACCAAAAGATAACAGGTAATTTAGTGTTACTAAATTGACCCAACGTTTCGAGCGTTAGCCCTTCGTCAATCGCTCTGACGAAGGGCTAACGCTCGAAACGTCTGCCTTTGAATTCTCTACGGTGGCCAATTTTCGTTTTCAACTCAGCTGTTTACACCGACGTAGCACACCCTTTATTCACGCGATCAGAAGAGCCACTTTCCGCTACGGCACCAGACAATGACGTCATGGGAACGTCCCCTAATTTATTTCGAGGGTGAAGCCAACTTGCATGTACGTCCTCTCTCCGATTTACTGCTTTGATTCGCTGAGTTGTTTCTTCTGTTTGTGATAGAGCAGGTTTGTATTTCTTAACTTCCTTAGATCGGTTTTCTAGTCTAACAGAGTTAAATGAAATGCAGTTAATAACCACCGTTCCTCAAAATTTCAAGCAGTCTTTCGGGCTTGCATTTGATTGCAAACCTACTGTTTGATGAGAGAAGGAAGTAGTTAAGCTGTGGTTAAAGATAGTCGATATGAAGTAACTTAGAAAACAAAATAACTTAATCTAAGTTTAAAAAAAAAACCTTATCTGATTTTTAATGAATATGTCCCGAGGCGCGCCATCTGTATGCGTAGCCGTTTAATACTATGCCATTGTTGAACTTTCGTTATCGATTTTTATCATCCCGGTTTGATGTCAGTATCTGTAATAGTTTTTGCACAGCTAACACCTTCGCTGCCCTCTCCACTACTCTTAGTTGCCTACTGCTGCTGTGTGATTACTTTAAAAGAATGAGAACTGCTATTTGTGCGGTAAAAACCAAATCTTAGCTCTTAAAGCTGATGCTTTACTATCCAAACAAGCCTAGTTTTGCCAAGCACTCTCTTTGGTTCTACATCATTCTACTTCTCACATTTGAATTGGCAACCTTACCCCTTCTGAATGGTAAATTATGATGATTACTATATAAACTGGTACACTGCTTAAGGAAAACTACCATTGTTCTTTCAAGTCAAAGCTCCTTGAAATGATTTACAACATATTCAGTACATTATTCTTCACACCATTTTTTTAGTATCATTTTTCATGACTGTGTCACATGCAAGTGATTTAAGTGGGAGCCTTATCCATCATCAAAAATATCCTCTTAATTCTAAAAATGTTGAAGTTGGATTAATTTCCCCTTTCCCCTTTCCCCTCTGAGTTTATGCTTTCAGGAAACTCACTATTGCGCTATGTCACAAAAACCTGTCTGCTAGGATTGACAGTAGATAATAGACTCACTTGGAAAGAACAATGTCAAATTTAAAGAAAAGCCTTTGAAAAAAGTTAGAATTAGTGAAATGTTTCAGCATCTTGCCTAAGGAAGTCCAACTAAAATTCTATTTTGGCATTATTTGGCCATCTATTGTGTATGGCCTAGGTTTGTGGGGTGTGTGCTGTAACTCCTATTTATTAGTTCAATTAGGAGACTTCATTGTCAGGTCCCCAGTTTCATTTTTAATTTACCTGGATAACTATCAGATTAGGCTATGAAGTAGAAATGATTAAACTATTCTATGATGCAAATAATGATATCCTCCCAGATTACCTTTCTAAGAAGACCTTTAGAAATGGAGAAAGTTCTTACTCACTACTTGGTCAGAATGTAGCTTTGATCCCGAGATACAATAGCAGATTAATAAGAGACTCATTAGTCTTTTGTGGTTCAGCCCTCTGGTAATTTGTTAATTATAATGATAAAATAGATAATCTAGATTTTAAGAAGTATTTTTAAAACTTTGTCTT